AAATGAAGAATGTTTGGAAAACATTTCTTGTTTACTTGGAAGCCATGTCAAATAATCATGAAAACAGAACAGCTTGTGTTTAATTTGTCTGTGAGGCATTTCATTTCCACTGTGGTACAGAAGGTGTTTTCACAGACTTTAATCGTGACACACCATGAATCGAATGATTGTTGATTCTTGTGCACAGCAGACATTCGGTGTCAACCATCATGACACAAAGTGTAAGGTGGCTCCAATGGGTGCATCGCACATTTTCTATCAGTGTTTTATTCATATTTGCCTAGGAATGCAAATGTTCTGGAACTGTAAGTGGATCCAGTTATTATGAATATCACTTGGTATATTATTTTATAAATTGATGTAGTTCTGGTTAAGAGCTGGTTAATAACCCTAATGGTCCCAGTTATCAAACGTTTGAAATTATTTTTGAAATTAACAATTATTGGCGTGTTATTGAGTGCTGTGCAAAGAACAAGAATTTAAACTGCAACTGTCAGTGCAGCATAATACTGGCTCTTTATTATTGAATGAAAACTTTAGACTTGCTACTTTTTCACTTATTTTGGATTTCTTCTGTTTTCTTATAAAATTGAAATACAAACCACTGCACTGCTGCCTTCATTTGAAGGCTGCCATCTATAATAGCAGGCAATTTATAATCATGATTTTGTCTAAAAAACATACAGTGGACATGTAAAAATATTAATATAATGTTATATTGTAACTAATTAGGCTAGTCATTAAAATTAGTAATTTGTTAAATTAATCATTGTACATTTTTCTGTTGTTGTTTTTTTAGATTATTAAAAAGTAGTTGTTTACATTTGTCGATAGGAATAAGACATATAAAACATATCTATAAAATGGTAAAATGTATTGTAACTAAATAAATATATTTATGATATAAAGCATCCATAAATATTTTAGGTGTAAATCCATAATACTGCTTTCTTTGTAGATACTGTCTGTATATTCTGTAAATTGAAGTTTCAGCATCTACTCAGACATACACAAAAGCATGTTTTGTACCTGTAAATGTTGCATACAAATACCTATATATAAACAATGTGACCAGACTAGCAGATCTGTATTACACGGCTATGGATGTTAATGATGTTAGTACATCATTGCAGTCATTGAAGGTAAGTGACGGTAAATAACGTGGGCCAGAGCTGTTCTAGAAGCTGAGAGATTTGGCCACCGCACACTGATAGTAACCGGTTCCAGCCAGCGAGCGTCTGTGAGGGAGAAATGCAGACTGAAGCAAATATCATCAGAGTGGGTTTTATCATCAGAGTGGGTTTGTTGCGTAAATGTACGCAGGGATATCTGAGCTTTGCGTTATTTGTTTGACGCTTGCAGGAAGTGGATGTTAAAGTGTAGCTCTCTAATCCATGTGTGTAAATTCGAGTCTTAAACAAACACATGTGTGTCACCAGCTGCATTAAGAGAGAGAAGAGGAGGACGGAGATAATGAGTGAATTCCTCATATCTGTACTTGCTTTAGAAAATAAATGTCTTAGCTCAGTGTCTAGCCTCAAGGATTACTAAAATGCACACACTTAACTAGCATGCTAAAAATATATCCATACACTTATATCGTTTTCATTTTAAAGTTAATCCTACTCCTTAAGTAATGTTTTACATTTTATTTTAGAATTTTATTCAATTAAAATGTAGTAAAGCAAGTAGAATGAATGAATGAAGCCAATTCAACAAATGTGAATTAAAAAGAAAAATCAATTAATACAATTGTTACTTTTATACTGAACTTATTTCTATTACTTAATCTAACCCTCTTATAAATCTTTTTGTGTTTTTTCTATTTTATTTACTATGTTTATTATGCCGTTTTTCTCCGTGGCCCAGTTGACCGCTCTCCACAATGTGGGTAATGTCAGGTTTTACTATTATTGTAAGGACAGTTGTTCAAAACCTGACCCACACGCATACACATGTTCCTCCACATGGTTGAGGAAATATGGCTTTCAGCAAGCGGTCATGTGGGAAATTGACAAAGCTCCAGAGCAGAATGTAAAGACAGAGAGAGAGACAGAGATGTGCATGGCAGGGTTATAGTAACAGACCTTGTATTAGGATTTTTTTCTCATAACTGCACACTCTCGCTCACTAATATCTGCCCTCAGTCAATCTCTCTCCACCAGCAGTGCTGAAAGTATCCAAAGCAGTCCTCTTCTGTCCTCTACTGTTCACAGCCCAAACAGCCAGTGTGATTTTTTTTTTAAAAGCAGGACGACATTTTAAATCACAGTCCTAGTGTAGTCTTAGGGCACATTCCATGTGACTGGTTTAGCTCATGTATGTTTACAGAATTGTTTGTGTTTGTAAAATTGTTATTTGAATGCTTTAGAGAAACATTTAGGAAGAGCAGTCAACCTCTGGATGGATGGATGGTCAGGGTGACTTTACAGTAGATCTCCTTTTGGCTCTGTAAAGCTCTGGATGTGTCACATGACCTGGATTGCATGTAGATTACATTGCCAGCCATTAATCAGTTCAATTTTTTTAAACAAAGCTTTTTTTATTGATTGATTGGTTTTGTTAATATTTTGAATTAGATTGTATTTTTATGTTTTCACACTGATTCAGTATAAAATGTTGTAGTAATTTTGTTGCTTTTTGATATTTTTATCATTTTTTTAATGTCTATATAGTTTTAATTGTTTGTATTTGTATATTTATTTATTTATGTATTTTCATTTTATAATTTTTATTTATTTCAAAGTGTTTCTAATATGTACACTTTTTTGTAATTTATATTGTTTTATTTTTGCATATTCTATGATTGTTTGTGTATTTTAGTCTTTTATGTATTTTTTTTCCAATTATAATATTGCATATAATATTGTTAAATATAACGTTATGTGTTACTCAAAAATGAACTTAATAATATATTAATATTATGTAGTATAAAAAAGTAAATAATTTTACGTTGAAAATGTTATTTACATATGTTTTGGTTATGTATTTTGATACTCATCTCTTTTTGGAATTGTCCGCCGTTGTGGAGGAGACAGTCTTTGTGTAACCTGTTAACACAGATTGTGCTCTATACAGTGGAACTGGTAGGCAGTGAGCGTTGTAGCTCTTATACTTATCCCCCACCCATCGTCATTGGCAATTTAGCTGGTAATTATGTAAAGTGCTGCTGACTTCCATTTCCAGCAAGCCCCTGAAAACGCACATCTCCTCATTAGCATTCAAAATGAGCTTTGGAACTGTTGATCTCTCCTCAAAACACATCCAGCTGTGCTTTGCAATATTTGTGTGTGCGTGTTTGAGTAGCACACGTACACCAGTCGCACACACTTCAATATGGTGTGCAAGACATAGCATCCTGGAAATAGTGTCTGCTCAGTTTGCTTTGAGAAAGGCTGTTTAAGATCAGAACGAGAGAGCTAGTAGTTCAAGACAGGGGGTTAATATGCTCTTCATTAATGCTTAAGAGCTCCCTCGAGACTCAGCAGGTGTGTAACAGCATCAGCAGGGATGCTAGTTTTCTAATATGTGAGGAATTGATCATTATATTTGTGAATTAATGCATGCTAATAGAGTTGCTTGAACACAACCCTGTTGTTCTCAGAGTGCTTCAACATGAACAAAGTCAATATCACTCTATGCAAAGGATACTGATTGTTCTTTAACTGTTATTTTGGAGATCAAATAAATATTCTTGGTTACAATTTAATACATAATATAATTGAATGCAACTTGTTTTTAATATTAATCATCTGTTTATGTTATATATAACCTGAAATATTTCTGTAACAGCTCATAACAACAAAAATAATGAACACTTTTAGCCTAAAGTAACAATGTTTTAATATTGACAATGTAATATTCCTGTCCTTGTTGCTCCGCCAGCCTGACTGATGATGTTTAAGGTGTCCTATCACATATTACATGATGGCTGTACATGTGTGTAATGCACATTATTTTCCACACAATGATTCATGCGTTAAATGCAGACTCCTCTATCTTTACACAAAGGCAGTCAGCTCCTCTTTCAGCCAAAGGCACATTCTTCTTACTTCTTCACTAAAACTCGAGGCAGGTATTTCACGGCTGGTTGCCTTTTTTAATCCATTTTCCCAGAATCCCCTCTCAGCTCTGTGCTGTAGCATTTTGGTCTGTTATGGGGCTGAAAATGAGAGACTTTGTTAGAAATGTTCCTTGTGTGTGACAGAGGAGCACCTCTGTGGTCATATGAGGAACTTGCTGTGATAGCTGGAGCAGATGGCACTAACTAAATAAATAAATTGGAAAAATATTACAGGTGACAGTGTTGCATTAAGATATATGTAGATTGTTATAAGAAGAATTAAGAAGGGTCTGTGCATGTGTTTAGGAGTGCATTTTTGAAGGGATTTATATGCTACATGCTATAAAATAAGAATTATTTGTCACATTAAAATAATTTATACATATGTGAGAGGATTTTTTTTTAATCATGGTGTGTTTTATTCATCAAAAATAATTTATTCAGTCCTTTGATAATTTATTTTAAAGGGGTCATGTGTTATATGTTTTAGTCATTTTTTTATTATTATTTAATGTCCTAATTTAATTTTTCATGACAATTTCCACCCACTTTTGATCTGTAAATTGTATTCTGTCTGTACTCTGTATTCTGGCTCATTGTCATTACAAACACAACTAAATACGTATATTTTGTAGTGTTGCTTGTTCTTAAAATCCATAATAGCCATTAAACACAATTTCTAATGTGACTAAATAGCATGAAACACATTCATAAGCCTGCTTTCTTATCAAAACCTTTCACATCCAGTTGGCGTGGACAACAAATCATTGGAGATTTTGAATATCAATATTTTGAGCTCAGTGTGAAGGGCTTCATAGAAACTAATTGTTTTGTTTAAATCAGTGAATACAGTTGAATTGACTTGAGTTGAAAGTGCTCTTCTCAAGGTCTGGGATTAATATTTTTAATGCATTTTGTGTGTCTGTTTTCTCCACAGAGGCATCTGTCCTAAGCTATGATGGCAGTATGTATATGAAGGTGGTGATGCCGACAGTAATACATACAGAGGCAGAGGATGTGTCTCTGCGGTTTATGTCCCAGCGTGCCTTTGGCCTGTTGATGGCTGCCACGTCACGTGAGTCCGCAGACACACTGCGACTAGAGCTGGACAGCGGCCGTGTCAAACTGACCGTCAATTTAGGTATCGTATACTGACTTATTTCTCTCTCTGTCTCTATCTCTCTTCCTCGGTCGTCAGTTCCTCGGTTATTTCTTATATTTGCAAGTTACTGGATGTTATCATCTCTCTAACACTACAACTAAATTGTTATTGTTTTGTTGATCTGCATGGATTGCTCCTATTTGTTTTTCGTTCTCTTGCTTTGTCTGCGGGTGATGTGGACAGACAAACTCTCTCATCATTGTCTCACATAACCTCTGACCTCATGGACGAAGCAACACATCTGCGCCAGTCATTCTCATACATGCTCATCGATTTACTTACATTGAAGCAACATATTTAAAAATAGTCATTTTTTAAATGTTATTAAATGAAAACAGCATTTATATTAGGGCTGGGTGATATAGCTAAATATTATCTATCTTTAACATCCATCTCTCTGTCTATCTATCTATCTATCTATCTATCTATCTATCTATCTATCTATCTGTCTATCTGTCTATCTGTCTATCTGTCTGTCTGTCTGTCTGTCTGTCTTAGTTTCTTTCTTGTATATCTTGTAAATAATAATCAAGTTGCATTTAATGTGACTTCACCAGTTGCAAAACAACCAAACAAATCAAAACAAGAAACAGTTTTACACCAGTCTAGCAATACATGGTAATAAACAACATTTACCTGTATTCAGTGGGGTTCAGACATCAGAGAAATGCTTCTATTTTGCATTTTCTTTTCAACTTAATAATTAACTGAACAATAAATAAATACATTATTGACAATGCATTTAATGGCTTAGCTCTATCAGCATTTTTGCTATTGAGGTCTATATAACAGAAGATACTGTATTATAATATCTTACAACAAAGAGTGGATGCAAACTGGCATACTGGCACAAGCACAAACTGCATATATATTATAATTATTATTTACTTATTTATTTTTATTAAATATATCACCCAGCCCAAAATTATAGGCTATGGACAGGACTGCCTCTTTGTGATAATGTTTCTGTATCTGTTTATGCTCTGTTCTTATGGTAAGATGGGTTTAATAATCAGTTATGCATCTTCTGTATAACATTTTTTTCATGTTATCAGGAAAATATGTACCCATTCCCATCCCTTGCTCTTAACGGCATTTATCATGCCTTGTTCAAAGATGGTACTCACCCCTTCAAAGGCCTTTAGCCTGCGGCCCTGTAAGCAAACAGCCCGAGACCAGAGCATCCAGCACACCTGCAGCTGGTGGCCAAAGCATCACCCACAAAACACACACAGTCATTTTTACTACCATCCACCCATATACACACCATGTCACAAGAAAGAGCCAGATGATCAACATCTTAAATATGCTGCAACATCAAAATGATAGTGATTTCAGTAAATTCAATAATAACTTCAATTTACTAAATTTTTATATTAGTTGCAGTTTCAATGGTAAAATCTGTCATTTTATATTCATGCACTTAGCATAAATAACAATCAGAACATTTCAGTATTCATTGCACCTAGTGTCTTAATTGATATGACTGTCTGTTTTTTTTTTTGTTTTTTTTTTAAGTACATGCTACAAGTCTGTGTGGTGCTGGTGCTTTTTGGACCGATGCTGTTTGCTCCCACTTTTCTGTTGCGGTTGATGGCACATGATAAAAATGGCCTTATGGATTCCGACCTGGATGACAGTTCCAATTGTCATAACAATCTGGAGTTCTCTGTGAAATTCACACAGTTGGTGGGGTAACCAATAATTTGGATGATTAACCAAAACAAAACAAAAAAGAGAAAGTATACCGGAGTTGATGAATCCTTTCGGCTTAGAGCAAGCAGCCATTCATATGGATTACTACTATATAAATTACATACTAAAAATATAAATCTACATCCTAAAAATAATAATAATTTAGAAAAAAAAAAAGATATAGCCAGCATATTTTGAATTCTTGTGGAATTAGCCTTAAGAATGATACACTTATAGTCATGTCTGCATGTTGTTATAAATAAAAAATAATAATTAGCTAAACAAGTTTTATCAAACATACTGGCCGGAATTATTAAACGGCTGTTGGAAATGATCCAAAATGGCTGCTGCTCCATGTGCTCATCCCCGGAAGGTGGTGTTTCTGTTGTTGGATGTCTGCAGCTGTATCCTTGAAGGACGCGATTTCATCTGCACTTGTTCTTCCCCATCTAGACTGTGGCAGGATAAACTGTAACACCAGTAAGTTTTTACTCAGTTTGTTCTATATACTCTTTTCTTACCCTGTTGGATTTATTTTTGTATTATTTTGAGATGAAACACAGATATTAGCTAATCCCACAGATGGTCAAAGTTTTAGCATTTTTATTAAACAGTGTTGTTAACCTATACTGCCAGTTAAACATTTGTACTCATTCTACAAATTTTTAATGATACTTTTCAATAGTTTAGATAAGGGGTTCTCAAACTTTTTTGTAAGCTGAAGCACTCCCATAAAAAAAACAAAAAAATGACTCGTTACTATTTCAATAGTTTAACAACACGGTTCATGGTTCTCTAATGTTGCTTAATGGTCACATGACAAATAAAACAGCTAAAATGTTTAATATTATTTAATAAGCGTTTTATTTTGCTTGTTTTTATTTTAAAGGGATAGTTCACTCAAAAATGTGACCCTGGACCACAAAACCAGTCTTAAGTCGCTTGGGTATGTTAGCTGACTGTCATACGCGAAAGCCGTTCCGGCAATATCCTAACAATACCATACATCAATGTTAAGCTTATTTATTCACCTTTCAGAAGATGTATAAATCTCAATTTCATAAAATTGACCCTTATGACTGGTTTTGTGGTCCAGGGTCACAAATGTGTCATCATTTACTCACCCTCATGTCGTTCCAAACCAGTATTAGTTTCTTTCTTCTGTTGAACATAGAAGATATTTTCAAGAATGCTGGTAATCAAACAGTTGATGGTCCCCATTGACTTCTATAGTATTTCCTTCCCTTCTATGAAGGTCAAAGGGGATCAAAAACAGTTTGGTTCATCGCAGTTCTTCAAAATATCTTATTTTGTGTTCAACATAAGAAAGAAATGTATATAGGTTTGGAACAACATGAGGGTGAGTAAATGATGAAAATTTTTTAATTTTCAGGTGAACTATTCCTTTAAAATTATTTATTTATATGGCTGCACATATACAATAATAATAATAATATTAAATAAGTATAAAAAATATAAATATATTAGTGTTGTAAATTATAACTATACTGTAAAATTACAAATATATTTTAGTAAAAAATTCAATACATTTATTCAAAGAATATTTGATAATTGTAGGCTTAATAAGGAATTTACAATAGTACAATTACAATACTAATATTTATTTTTCGAATTCCTCACTTTCAAATGTTCAAACCTTAGTTTTTTATATGCTGGTGGGATGCTGGTGAAATTATCTAAACTTCTATACACAACAAATGTTAAAAAATATATCCCCAATACACATTAAACTCACTGCACATAACAGACATGGAGTTTGAGAGAAGCAGCTAGTGACAGTACTTATTAAATTAAATCACAGTCTTTGATTTGATAATCACATTAAGATATCGCTATAAGCGTTATATATAGATTTATATTGAAATATATATCAAAAATATTTTATATTTGAATTGCATCAAAGATGTCACCCTTTGCCCAGATTACAGGTCTGAACATTATTCCGAACAAGCTCTAAGAGATGCATCCAAGGATGCTTTTAAACAGCACTGAATGACTTCTCATATGTGCTCGAAATGTTTCATTAATTTCTCCAACTTTCTTTAAATTAAAAATTTCAGCTTTAGTATTTTCATTTCATTTAAGCCTAAGCCTTTAGATCAAAGGGTTTTTTAAGCACATGAGAAACATAAATTAACAAAATCCAAATTTTTGATTGGTAGTGCACATGTTTTACACGCTGTTAAATGTTAATATTTAAGCATTTTTAAATAATGCTGTTTTAACAGTTTTGTAATGAAAAATCTTACTAACTGCTTAAGTCTCCTGTTCCTCATACCCTTCCTCATCAGATATTTTTAAAGTTATTATTATTATTATTATTATTATTGAGCTCAGCAGTCAGGTTCCAGAAGTAAAATCCCATTCCTTTTCTCTATAGAGAAATGAATTTAGTCAGATTAGTACAGATCTACTATAAGCTCTGAGGATGTTACATTTTGAAATATGCTTCTGTAGAAGCCACAAGTCTCTGTGATTTCAAATTTAGTCACCCATTACTCTGATAAATTGTTGTTAACATTGAAAGAAAACTGCTGCAAAATGTGGCTCATATATAGTCAATAGTTTTATTTTTTACTATGATTTCTACCATAATTATACTTACATATTTCTGTGTGTACACAGTCTTGCATCTTTGTCTGCTTTTTAAAACAATTTTCAATTGCAATTTTGCTTCAAATCAAATGTTGTAATGCGATTCATTTTGGAGCTGCTTAGTTTGGTTCATGACTTGACACGACTTTGAATACGATTTTTCTTCTCTATAGAGAAAATGAAGATGAAAAGTGGGTGGTTACCATTGCATTCCACTTAAGTAACAGTTTGATTTCAGTTTTCTGTGCGAATCACAGTTGTCTTCCTCAAGAGGGCACTTGTGTGCCCATACTAGTAATCTCTGTGAATTGATTAAAAAACATAAAACAAACAAACAACAACAAAAAACAATCATCCAGTACAAACAACAGTGACTGATACAGATAAGTAGTTAGAAAAGTAACAGGTAGCACCACATGACCATGCTGTCTAATGTGCTGTTGCAGAAGTCATCTGGAAAATGATTTTACACCCTGAAAGTTGACTCTGAGAAATTGTAATAGCCACTGAATTGACCGCACACATGGAAGAGTTAAAAAAAGGACAATTACAATTTAGAACCATCTTACCTGACCACAACACAAGACTTTGGGCCTGTGTATATAACGGGCTGTATGCTGTTAACTCAACAGTAATGAAAGATATTTAAGACTACATCACATTTTACATGGTTATATTTATAAAAACAAAATCTATAACACTTTAGTATAGGGACCAATTCTCACTATTGACCAGTTGCTTATTACCATGCCTATTATAAACATATTGACTATTTATTAGTACTTATAAAGCACACATTCAGCATGACCATATTCTACATCCCTAATCCTACCCAATACCTAAACTTAACAACTATCTTGCTATTAATAAGCAGCAAATTAGAAGTTTATTGAGGCAAAAGTTAAAGAGAGCAAAAGTAGTTAATGGTTTGTTAATACTGAGAATTGCACCTAAGTGTGATCAAGTGTTTGATTTGTTAATTAAAATAAAAGCAAAACACACACACACACACACACACACACACATGCACGCACACACACGTTGTGTTTCCATAGGCATAATGTTTTTTATACTGTACAAACTGTATTTTCTATCACCCTACCCCAACCCTACACCTAAACCTACCCCTCACAGGAAACTTTCTTCATTTTTAGATTTTCAAGAAAACATTATTCTATATGATTTATAAGCTTGTTTCCTCATGGGGACCTAAAAAATTTCCCCACAAGGTCAAAATTCACTGGTATTACTATCCTTGTGGGAATTGGTCCCCATAACGTAGTGAATACCAGGCACACACACACACACACACACACACACACACACACTGCCACTCTTATCAATAAATGAAGGGGGGGAAAAAACATTCTTTGTAAATAATTAGGAAAAAGGCAAATTTATAATCAAATTCAGATGGGACTTTCAATAATAGTAAAGTAATTGGCTTTCCTAATGTGGTCTAATACATCACCATTTTAAACTATGAAAACTCTAAAATCTCTTGCTTGTCTAGATTTGTATAAACACACAGGTCAGATCATTTAGATCTCTGTAGCTTTTGGAGTCAATTATAGGTTTTTTGTTTATTAAGCATGTTCTTCAATTAACAGCCGAATGGCTGAAAAGAAAGTGGTAATGTAGTGCTGATTAACCATTTTAATTCTACAATGCTTTTAGAGAGGCACTTTGCCTTGTGCGATAATTTGAAGTTTAAATACTCAATATATTTGAGCCGCTTATGTTAATGGCACCAGTAAATCAGTACAACAATCAGTGCTCTCAGCCAGTACTTTTTAGCGCAGACTATGTATTTGTATTACAGTGCACCCTTAAAAGAATAAATGTCCACGGCTATGTCAGTTTTGTTTCATGTCTTGGACTTTTCTGGGTAATAGCAAATGTTGATTTTCCTTGGAACTATTGATGTACCACAAGTAAAATATGTCTGTGATCTATCATCCGAATGACAAAATTTAAATACACATGATATGATTTATTAAAATATTGAGATGACAGAAATTTGATTTGCAGTGCTAATGTGTGTAAACACTAACTGACTCACATCATTCTCAGGTAAAGGACCAGAGACATTGTATGCTGGCCAGAAAGTGAACGACAATGACTGGCACTCAGTCAAAGTGATGCGGCGTGGTAAAAACCTCAAACTCATGGTGGATGACGATGTAGCTGAAGGTACGAATGCAGTATAATCTTTTCCGAACAGCTTTTCAGCGGCTGCCCCCATGTAATGCATAAATCCAACACTTAATAATCACTTTACCAAGACCTCCTACTCCTCTTTCACAGGTCAGATGAATGGTGACCACACTCGGCTGGAGTTCAGTAACATCGAGACTGGAATCCTGACAGAACGGCGCTTTGCCTCCACGGCTCCATCCAACTTCATTGGTCACCTGCAAGGCCTGAAGTTCAACGGCCTCCTCTATATTGACATGTGCAAAAACGGAGACATCGAATTCTGCGAGCTCAATGCTCGTTTCGGCATGCGCTCCATTGTGGCCGATCCAGTTACATTCAAGACCAAAGGAAGCTATCTGGGTCTTGCTACACTCCAGGCTTACAGCACCATGCACCTCTTCTTTCAGTTCAAAACTACCTCGGGTGATGGATTCATTCTCTTCAACAGTGGAGATGGGAATGATTTTATTGCCGTGGAGCTTGTCAAAGGGTGAGTGGAAGTACAGCAAAATTTCCAGAGAATCTGTTTTTACCAAATGACCATTTTATTGAGGTTGACAGGAAAGGTTGGGAGGCCATTCTGGGGTGTTGGAAGTCAACTTCAGTCAGGCCGAGACATGTTTACTCTAAAGTGGCTAAACGTATGTTCATTTTCAAGATTGCCAAACTACTATACACCTCAGAATACCTTGAACAGTTAATTGTGGGGAATTTGATTGTTGAATATGTTCACCAAAATGATTTGTTCTGATCCATTCAGTGAGTCTTGCTGTAATCATTACATCTGTGGGTGGAATAGCTAGTATTGGGTATTTTTGTTCTACCCCAGTGACACAAAGATTTTAAATCAGTTCACCAAACAGATTCATTCACACCAGCAGGTGGCGACTAGTGACTGTCTTTTTGAGTATAATGAGAGAGTCATCATACTCGTGAAGGTTACCAAAGCAGGCACTAATTTAAAACATAGATTTAAAAATGTTTGACCAACATCACTCTTAGTTTCCAGAGCCTTCTCGACTTTAAGAAAAAAAAGTCTGAAATTGAATTTAAATTCAGATTTAAATCAGTAATTTCAGTTTTTATCAGCCGTTCCTTTAAGCTATGCTTTCATTATTATTTCATTATTTTCATTATTCCTTATTAATGTTGATTATCGAAATTAACGTTGATTAACGAGAAATTAACGTAAGTGTCAGAAACAACTTTTATCTATGACTGATTACCAGAGAGTTAATAATGGTATGTTTTAAAATGCAAGTTATTTAGATCAATTTGTAATGTGGAGAGAATCATCATAAAATCAAATGTTTAATATCATGTACATATTTTACCTTACGTATCTGATCTAATTGTACACAATTCAACAGCATTGACATTTTTAAAAACATTTTATAATCTTTATCAAAATGTACTATTTATGCGTCTTAAACAACTTTTTTTGTTGATGTAACCAGGACTGTGCAGGCAGAAGAAAAATGATGTTGACCCAGTAAAATCAAATAATACTGACCGTAGCCCAATTTATTCAGTCAAATCCAGATGGCACACCATCTTCTATTATTTCCTGCTAAATATTTCACTCTTCATGTTTTCTTCAGTGTAAGACACTGTGTAAGGCTGACACAATTCATCCACAACAGAGCATTTACCCCTAGCAAATATTCTTAGAGGATTTTAGCATTGTATGCTTAGTAAAGTAAATGAAAAACAAAAACATTTAAACCAGCTTCTTGGTATAGAGTACACTGGTGAATGCAGAAGCATGGTTAGCCTAGCCCTAGTCCATCCAAACAGAATGATCCACTTGGCCTGTGGTCAACCCTCCAGCAGGACATATACCCTGTTCCTCTTTAAAACGAGTGTCCACTCTTATTGTCATCTAATAGAGAGCCTCTCAGCTGATCAGCTGAGTTTGCTTCAGTATGTACTTTGGTGTTCTTCAGTGAAGTGCGCTTGAATTAATTTGGGACATGGACACATTTGAGCTCAGTGTGTATGTGTGTTTGTCAGGTATATTCACTATGCGTTTGACCTGGGAAATGGACCGAGTCTTCTGAAGGGAAACAGCGACAGTCCTCTTAACGACAACCAGTGGCACAATGTGGTGATCACTCGAGACGCCAGCAACACACACACTCTAAAAGTGGACGCCAAGTCTGTCAGCCAGGTGGTCAACGGAGCGAAAAATCTGGACCTGAAAGGTCAGCCGTACAGATTCGCTTAACCTTTTGGTGACATTTTTGATGTGCGTTTGACATTTCATATCAAAAAGAAAAAGAAAAAAAAACAGATTGGTATATTTATGTGAACAGGAAATGTTGCATACTGAGCACATAAACCTCACTATATGCCAATGTAGGAAGAAAATTTAAGTTATAGTTAAATTTTTTCACTCTTTGCAGGTGATCTGTTTGTGGCCGGTTTGGGACCGAACATGTACCAGAATCTGCCAAAGCTGGTGGTGTCTCGTGAGGGTTTCCAGGGCTGCTTAGCTTCCATGGATCTCAACGGCCGCCTGCCTGACCTCATCAATGATGCTCTGTTCCGCAGTGGGCAGATCGAACGTGGCTGTGAAGGTATGCGTCATTCTCTACAATTCAATCTAAATGTCTACCCATCCCTGGCACACTGCTCTGTGTTTTAACCATTAAATTCAAACCTGATTTAACCTTTGCAACTGTTTTCCTCTCTAATCATTTTCTTTTACTTATATTTTAGTTATATTTTTGTGCCTCACTGAAATCTGGGTATTCTCTGTTGTTTTGTTGATATGAGAGCCCCTATAACCACTAGATGGCGCCTTGACCGAGGGCATGTTAACAACATTTTTTTTAGTGATTTGAGGTAGTCATCTCATCATTATCCTTGCCTTACTAAAATTTTTACCCAAGTTACTCTCTCATTGTCTTTCACACACACACACACACATTTTCCACTCTCTTGACTTGACGTTCCCTCCACTAACCAGCCTCTGTTTTATTATCCAATTCTTTCCAAAATGTCCTGCTAACAAAGTTGGTTTCACCAAAGCTGACCTGCAAGGTAGAGGGTTCGACCTTTTTACCTCATACACACACATACACACACACACCTGGCTGAAAGTTGCAATTTGTTTTTACATTAATGGTCCTCCAGTAAAACAACTACTTAAAACAACTGAACACTTTTTAATACATGTATAAAATACATGTATTCAACACATTTCTATCTATCTATCTATCTATCTATCTATCTATCTATCTATCTATCTATCTGTCTATCAATTATAGCATGTTGCAGTATTTTGTACGTATATTTTTTTTACACGACTTTTCATTTAGTCCAGAGCTGACATGTACAGTAGCTGAGGGGAACTAAGGTTGAATCCAATCCCTATAAATATCCTCCTTAAAGAACATTCCAGCTCAAAGCTTTCCACTGAAGGCACATCAAAATCGAGACATTGTCTAGATCTATCTATCTATCTATCAATTATAGCATGTTGCAGTATTTTGTACGTATATTTTTTTTACACGACTTTTCATTTAGTCCAGAGCTGACATGTACAGTAGCTGAGGGGAACTAAGGTTGAATCCAATCCCTATAAATATCCTCCTTAAAGAACATTCCAGCTCAAAGCTTTCCACTGAAGGCACATCAAAATCGAGACATTGTCTAGTGTCCCGCTGTTCTACAGCAATTGGCCACAATTCTCTCCCCTACTGAAGCATTTTAATGGATGTTTTGGCAATTACTCATTTATATTGTGTTGAGAGCATCCAAGAGTGGTTCAGTTGGGGAATCATTAGAGGCGGAAACCAGCAAGAGAAAAGAAAGAATTCTTCCATTGCTTTCCTGACTCAATAAAAGCACTTTCAGCCAGTGGAACCTTTCATACATCCGCACTCAGGGCTTTGCTCTTGTTTTGAATGCATGTCTGTCAGTTTGGTTTCTTTTGTTTATGATCTGAACTGCTGGAATTGACATGTCATTATGGTTTTAATGAATCTCGGATCGAGTGTAAACAATTGTTTGCATTCCCTCTTAAAGATTCAATAGTTGTCTTTTATGAAGTGCAGAAGAATGAAATGTGCATGGTGTATTCACAGATTTTTTTTCTCAACGTGGCTGTTTTTGTATCTCGAAAGAGATATTCTTCACTGCTTAAAAAAAAAAACTTTTCTTAATCAATATTTTTCTCTGGTTTTCCAGTACATAATACTATATGTAAGAAATTAGGACTTGCTTCCAGTTAATATATTTTGGGTTATTTATTTTTCTGAAATGTTAGTATAAACCCCAACATGGGTATCACTGGGGACAGCTGGAATGTCACAAAATGGCTTAGCTTAGCTAATGAATATTAATTAGGTCATACACAAATAATTTAGCAAGATCTTTGCTATTTTGAGAAATGTGTGACTTATTCATCTTTACATGAGGATTTAACTTCATACTTGCATCTACCTGTGTTAGATTTTCAGGGATCCATGGTACTAATCTGTATCAACAGACCTTTTTATTGTAATAAACCAAAATTGCATCTGTAAGTTAGTGACTGTGTATCAGTAGTGGGGACACATTTGTTTAGTCATTTTGTATAGTGATTTCACTAGAATGGATACCAGCCATGAGAAAGAGATAGATTAGAATATGAGAGCTGTGGGTTGGAGTAAACATTGTTGCTGTCACTTTCTGTAACTGATAAACTGCCAGACTGCTCAGCAAAACAACAATCATAAGAAAATCCAGTGCTGTATTGTCAGTCATTATAACACACACTGGATTAGATACATCCCTGTTGTAGATACATCTTTCTGCAGGCCATTTCAATAAGTTATACAGACCATGCAAGTGCCCATAGGTGGGTTACAAAGTGATTTGCATTAAATTTGTCATATCTCCTCAACATGGCAACCCAGATGAGGTGACCCACTCAAATGTCATTATTTTAATGTTGAAATTTAGACAATATTTTGTATTTTTCATTTCACCTTACAGTAGTCAACAATATTCGTTGCAATGCTTGCAATGCTGAAATACAATAAGTAACAGAACATTAAATGAAAACCTGTTTAAAAAAATACTGGAGAAACAAGACCAACATACTGAATAAGAAAATGTTTTTATTTGTATTATTTTATTTGCATGTCTGAATGTTCAACTACTATAGTGTTGCTCAGTATTCAGGATGAATGCACTATCATGAATCTGTTTACCGAGCGTTGATGCTGACCCGTGAATGACCTTGCATGCATGCTAGTCTTGCTGTGCTGCCTGTGACAGAGATGCCTGCTGAAATCTGTCATTACTATTGACTCATGCTGTTCCTGTCACCTCCACATCAGGGCCCAGCACTACATGCCAGGAGGATTCGTGCGCCAACATGGGTGTGTGCATCCAGCAGTGGGAGAACTTCACCTGCGACTGCTCCATGACCTCTTACTCTGGCACCCAGTGCAATGACCGTGAGTGACCCACACTTTATTTTGCTGATTGTAATATCAAGTTGATTTTTGGTGTAGCTTTGTCATTAAGAAAATCTAATTACATGGGCTATGCTTTGAACAAGTCTGATTATTGGCTGCATCTAAAATAGAGATATCAGATTTGTATTGATGATTATTGTAGCCAAGAGAATTTGTGATTATCATGATATTATCAAAATATCTGTAACGGGGTTGACGAGACATGAGGATCCATCTGCAGGCTTTATTCAAGAGACGTGGTAAACAAGCAGGGTCAAACTATGGCAAACAGGTATATGGCGGGCAAAACACAAGAATAGTCCCAGGGCTAGCGTAGGTCACCGATAAGCAGACAGAATCACAGGGGCGAGACGAGAGGGAGAAATCCAAGAAAACAGGCAAAGATCAAAAACCGCAAAAACAGGCAAGGCAAGGCAAAACAAGGAAAACACGGAGACTCGGAAAGGAGTACAGGCTAAACAATACTTAGCAGAGAAAGGTGGTTAGAGTGGGTGTTATATAGTGAGTGAGGTGATTAGAAACAGCTGTTCAGTGCAGTGTGCAAATCGTGCAAAGAATGATGGGATATGTAGTCCGGGGTGCTATGCAACAGTTTGTGTTGTGCGAGAGTCAATGAAATGGAAAGGGTGACCTCTGGTGGTGAATAAACGGAAGTCCATAGACCGAATCCGTGACAATATCTATACAAATTTTGAATAATCATATTTAACTTTGTTAAACTGTTCCATACATTATATTAAAATAAGATCACTAATGTATTAGATCCTGTAAATTCTGTGTGCCTTAGTTGTTGGTTTTTTTAACCTTGTTACAGAACACATTCTGATTCACAGTCAAGTTAACTTTTTTGTGCAGATGCAAGCCACAGTATAATATCCAATATTTATATGATGGGTCAAAAATTAAAAAGGGATCTAATACAGTGGTTAAAGGTAATGGTAAAAGGACTGAAATCTTAAAAAAAAAAAAAAGAAACACACATGAATTCACTTGAATTCACAAGTGCAGTTTTCGTTCATACTGTATGTTGATGTATTTTATAGTAAAACAGGAAATTTGTAATATCTTCTGTTTTGGATTTACCCATAGTAAAGTGTTTTCAGGTTCTGGATTTTGTGTCCTGTTAATCATTTTGAAGGTTTAGTGCTTTTTGGTGTTGTTATATGTATAAGGAGCCATTTACAGGTGCATCTCAATAAATTAGAATGTCGTGGAAAAGTTCATTTATTTCAGTAATTCAACTCAAATTGTGAAACTCGTGTATTAAATAAATTCAATGCACACAGACTTGTGATGATTTTGACTCACATTTAACAAAAACCCACCAATTCACTATCTCAACAAATTAGAATACTTCATAAGACTAAAAAAAAAACCTTGTTTTGTGAATTGTTGGCCTTCTGGAAAGTATGTTCATTTACTGTACATGTACTCAATACTTGGTTGGGGCTCCTTTTGCATGAATTACTGCATCAATGCAGCATGGCATGGAGGCAATCAGCCTGTGGCACTGCTCAGGTGTAATGGAAGCCCAGGTTGCTTTGATAGCGGCCTTCAGGTCATCTGCATTGTTGAGTCTGGTGTCTCTCATCTTCCTCTTGACAATACCCCATAGATTCTCTATGGGGTTCAGGTCAGGCGAGTTTGCTGGCCAATCAAGCACAGTAACACCATGGTCATTGAACCAGTTTTTGGTACCTGTGGCAGTGTGGAAAGTCCTGCTGGAAAATGAAATCAGCATCTCCATAAACCTTGTCAGCAGAAGGAAGCATGAAGTGCTCTAAAATTTCCTGGTAGATGGCTGCGTTGACTGTGGACTTCAGAAAACACAGTGGACTAAAGTCCTCTTTTCAGATTAAAGTACATTTTGCATTTCATTTGGAAATAAAGATCCCAGAGTCTGGAGGAAGAGTGGAGAGGCGCAGAAACCATGTTGCTTGAAGTCCAGTGTGAAGTTTCCACAGTCAGTGATAATTTGGGCTGCCATGCCATCTGCTGGTGTTGGTCCACTGTGTAAATGAACATACTTTCCAGAAGGCCAACAATTCACTAAAAATGTGAAGTATTCTAATTTGTTGAGATAGAGAATTGGTGGGTTTTTGTTTAATGTGAGCCAAAATCATCACAATTAAAAGAACCAAAGTCTTAAATGACTTAAGTCTCTGTGCATCGAATTTATTTAATACACGAGTTTCACAATTTGAGTTGAATTACTGAAATAAATGAAGTTTTCCACGACATTCTAATTTATTGAGATGCACCTGTAATGTGATTCAAACAAGTATGACATATTAATATGTTTGTTGGCTACAGGAGCAACACTTTGAACAGGCAACCAATCGTTGCATTCTAATTTTGGGGGAGGGGTTACAGGAAAGGATTGGCTAATAGAAATATTGCTCTCAGTAACAACAAAGGATGCTGAATTAGGAAAATGTCCTTCTTTTGTAAAAGTGGTTTTGGGTGAGTGAATGATAGTAGAATGACAGTGAGGAATGTGTGGTCCATCTATCCAGTCAGCAGACAGGTTAATAAGCTGTGAGCAGTTGTAATGAGGTGCAGTAAATGTTCAAATGTCAAATTAGCCCAGCAGCCTCTCAAACATGGCAACGCATACGTAGAAATCCTTCTCCTCTAACTCTCTCTCTTTTTATTTCTCCCTGTCTTTTTCTGTCTCCATTAATGAAGAATAAGCTGGCGTCTGTTTCTTTAATGATGTCTCCCATGTTTAACCTCCGGCAGTTGTACACCGTTTCATCACTCTGACATTTCTAATCATAGAGGCAAATTCAATTTCACTCCGAAAAATGGGCTCTTGAGCTTGCGAGACGATTCTGTGTAGGGTCACGGCAGTTACAGTGAGTGCCACAGCCTTGTAGTCTTGTAATATTAAAGCAATGATCATTCATAAGCCAAAAGTTTGTTCTTTCATTAATAAATAATTCAGTATAAAAATGTATTGCAAGGTGACAAGGTTTTAGTGTGTGTGTATATGTATGTGTAAATCTATCATATCCATAATTAAGCTTGACTAATTCATCCTTAATTATCCATTCTTAATGAAGCATAATCAAACTCTTTTGTTCCGGAACAATGGAGAATTATTGTTTGTTGAAATTCTGCACTTTAAAACAATCTTCTTTTTTTTTTAAATAATAATAATAATTTTGTTTTATTTTTAGCCAAGAAAGTTATTTTTAAATGTTCAGATTCAAGGCAAAAAAAATGTGAATTAGGACAAGTAATGAGTAAGCAGAGATGTAAAAAAATATATATATATCTCTCATCTGTAATTATTTATGCTTAATTTTTGGCACAGGGGATAGATAGAAGGTCAAGTTGAGTGCATTGCATTGAGTCTGTGCAGTCTGCATTTTGGGATGCTGCACATTTGTGGCAAATGTGTTTTCATGTCATCTGTATTTTAGACATGCAGAAATATGTTTACTGTAGCCAGTTTACATGCTATGTATTTCAGAATAAGGTAAAGTAGTATGCGAGTATGCTATTTTGAACATAGCCTCTAGGTGGCAGCTGTGCGCCTGTCAAGCAGACACTAGCATGCACCACAGGATCAAACTGGAACACAATCCCCAGCGCATGCAATCAGTTCTGCTTGTATTTTCATCACTGTCTTCATCTTTTGCCAAACACATGTACACAGACACATGCACAAACACGCTCACGCATCAAGCGCTCGTCCTCTCGCTTCCGACATAAACGGTCCAAATTGTAAGTGGGCATGATGTCTTTTCTCAGTTTGATATCCAGAAACACAATGGCACACCATACAATGCCAAAAACTGGCACACTCCAGAGCAGAACAGGGGCCAGCGGTGTCTGTGGCCAGAGAAATCGCAATCCTGCGTGAGAGTGATTCTAATTAGCGGGTGTAGTTACCTCTGGGTGCTTGTGGGAGAAAGAGAACATGGAGCAGCCTTTAATAACTCAAATCCGACTCAGTCCAACAGACAGACAGCCTAAATTAATCAGGTAGACAGACAGGCAGAGAGAGTGAGAGAGACCAAAAATGAGAACATTGTGTGTGCGGTTAAAAATGGTGGACTCAGTTTGTAACCTAGATTTCAGCTGCAGGTTTTAAAGCGCGTTGTTCGAGCCAGAAGCTTTCTGCAGTTTTTTTGTCCGTGTTCATAAATCCTTCTATTGTGTTACGCTGAAGTCGGAGAGAATAGAAGATGAATACGGCAGCGTATTCATCACGCTAGCCGAGCAACACAACAGAACGCTCAGCTAAAGCTCCAACGGACACCTCAGCCTCGAGGGCACCATCTTCAGCCAACTCAACACCTATTTATGAAGACCACAATACCTCTGTGTATTCCAGCATTCCGCAACAAAAGTTGCATGCTTAGACACAGCATGTGTGCAAATAAGCTAAATTTGCTAATAGGGTATTTAATTCCAAGAGAAATGCTAGATTCATTGTTTTGTTCTACAGTGAACTCCTCCCCTTCCAGCTTTATCACTATACCGGCATTTAATTTATCTCAAGGACGTTTGAGCTATAAGCTCAATCCAGAACACTGACCGAGGCAATTATTCAACTTGCGTAATTGAATTAGCACATTCTATCCGTTATTTGCCCGCCTCCTCTCACAGAGGTCGCTCTTTATTGTTTATAAGCTGTTTGAGAGGCATTCTGCACACGCACAATCACATACGCAACAAATCATAGAAACACAGGGAGAGTGAATCAGTTAATGTTGGCATTTGTAATCGTTTGGACCAATTTGCAATGAATCTTATTGTGAGGCTGTAATCCTGCTGACAGTCAGAATGTGCTCGATCGATTTCCTTCGAAAAATGCTGTTTGCTTTGGTGCTGGTTATTACACAAAATCAAATATCACAATAATAAACTCACAGCTTGAGAAGATGGAAAAATAAATTTAGAGATTCCTTCAGTAATGTCCTCAAGCGTGTGTTTACCTGATTTATCTCTATGTTATCCAGTTTTAAATAAAATGAGAACCCACCCAATATCTACTGTACCAACCTGTCTATAAACCACATGTCAACATTATTATACTAAAACCAATTTGAATTGAATTTCATTTAAAAACATTTTTTGTAATAATTTGGGATAGCATGAGGGTAAGTAAATGGAGTATCCCTGTAATAGGATGGGGTGCTTCCTATTTTCGAAAGAGTGTCACCTGATGTGATCATAAAAGAACAATGGGAGTGCTCTTCCAGATGTGGTTGGCACTTTTAGATTAGGACAGGGAGTGTCTCGCCTTTTTGGGGTCCCTGGAAGTCTAGGGCCCCAGAGCCCAGTCGGTAATCTTACCCTGCCAGCAGGCTTTAATAAAGTGATGTATTTCATCTTGTAGGTGGTGTGATGGTTTGAGCTATGCTCCCCAGACTCATTGAAGTTTAGACTCAGCATCTGCTGTTGCACTAAGGTGTGATGGAGATGTCCAACACCTCATTATTCATGATTGAGCTGTGGGTGAGAAACGCCCCTGAAAGAGCTACCCAAGGCCCTCTCTCTCTCTTCTGTGTCTCAAATGAAATAAGGGCAACACATTTTTATGGCTGGACATTTATAACCTCCAGCATATGTACCTGAGGAGTCCCGCCTCTCCCTCCAGCACATGAATAATGCATAAGGCTCCTACATAATACATGATGGTGGAATGCGGGTGAAGGCAAACAGGTGTTCATGTGCTCCTGTTCCCTGGGATCCGGTTCTGGTTCAGTGTCAGTCACAGATGGAGAGGAAGACATGCCAGCTAGCTTCTGCTTTTTGTGGCTATGTTTCAGGAAGAGATCCTCCTCACCACATCGCTATGAAAAACAGGGCCTCATCTAGCCACAAGGAAATGCGATATTATATCTGAGAGGCACCGCTTTCATGGTGCAAGAAGAAGCTCTTGTGCTTTGATGCTAAATGACAGATAGCGTAGCACTTTGCGGCGAGCGAGGCTTCTTGTTGGGGCTCTAGGGAGAGCAGCGTTACCCCTTCAAACAGATGCTATTACACCCACGCACAAGCTAGCGAGAACGTAGATGTCTCTATTAAAACAGAATGTTTCAGGTGGAATGTGCAACAAAGTGCAAAAAAGACTCACTGCTGATCATTGAAGGGAAGGAATAGTCTTACCTGTGATGCCATATGTCTGTTCATTTGCTAGCAACATGATAAGTAAAGGGTTTAGGAATAGATCAGCAAAAAAAAAATATATATATATTCTTTCATTATTTACTCAGTGTCAGTGAAACATTTTTTGCAGTGACACACAAAAGTAGAACATTTTGAAGAATTTTCTTGGAGCCCTTCCCATACAACACTCATAGGGAACACATCTGTAAAGAGGACAAAAATAACATACAATGCAGAAAATAAAGATATTATTATTATTTACTGTAATTATGTTAAATAGCATATGGGTTTGTAATGACATGAGGGTGAGTAAAAATTTAAAAATGTTTGGTTTTGTGGATTTTTTCAAAGTGAAGCACTAGAGGGCTTTCACGTTACAGCTTTCACGGAAGAGTGGGAGAGTTCAGAGCATTGCTGATATTCCTATTTGAAGATTATTTTCTTCATACCGGAAGCCTGACCTCAGCGTTACCTACATTTAGAACAGAGATAATGCTTTACAGACGCTCACCTCTAAACCAGCAGACTCAGTGAATGAGACATTTGTGGCTGCATGTAGAGATAAGAGCAGCTCTGCCGCTGAGAGTCTGCAGAGGCTTGAGAAGAAGAAAAATTATTGAATCAGTCACATTATGAAAACGAAAGGAGCACTGAACATCCATCTGCAGTCTACAGCCTGGTGACCTTGAAGCAATGAGTAGGTTCTTTGCTCTGGTGTTTACTGACAAACATACAGGCATCCATCAACACAGGTTTCTGCATTCCAGGGTTGGGCAACATTTAGAATTGAAGAACTACCTTCCTTTTGCTGGGTGTAAATTCAAATCGATTTGAGCATGTTGCATATGAACAGTAAGGGCCAGGAAATGAAATTTACTTCACTTGCAATTCAAAATGTTCAACACAATCAAACAACAAAGAGTGTCATGAAGGAATGTCCAAAACAAGGATTTTGATTTACTATTTAATACATATTGCCATTAAATTTTAAATCTGCTCTTTTATATAATTAATTAAGATATAAATGTTTTAATAATAAACATACAATTCCATTGTCCTCCTTAATGTTTATATGCATGCATACTATACATACATCCTTATAATAATTTGAATGTTTCATTTGCGAAAAATAATGAATGATTATTAATATCATATCATGTTTCTAGAAATACATAATATGTTATATGATATTATGTGTATGGGGAATTTATAAAAATGTCAAAAACTAAAAATAACTAATAAATAATAATTCCTTAAATTCCAACTTCAAACAGCCACGGCTTGTCTATATCTACCAAACTATATAAACTGAATCAGTCATGAATGTGTTCAGCATTATTCAACAAATATTTTTCATAGTTTGTAGACTATTTTAAGTAATTAAGTGATATTGATATATTGAAATTTAGCGCATGAGCTCAACAGCGCCCCACATTTTTTTGTAATTTTTTGGTGAAAAATGGAAATGCATCATGCCCTAATTGAGAGCCATATATTAAGATATGAGACATTATACATTACAAGAATGTTGTGGCGGATAAGATCAGTCCATGTCAGTTCACCAATTCTTCAGATTGTAAACATGGGGAGTGGCACAGATCATACTGAGTGTAATAGTTTTACAAAACTCTGCATTACTTGCAGTTTGATACAGATCTCAGTTGTGGTCCAAATCATTATCAGAATAGTCCAAGTATAAGTCCTACGTATGCTCTTGTGA